AGGAGAGAGGAAGAGAGGAGGAGAGGAGAGAGAGAGAGGAGGGAGAGAGGAGGAGAGGAAGAAGAGAGGAAGAGAGAGAGGAGAGAGGAGGAGAGGAGGAGAGAGGAGAGGAGAGGAGAGGAGAGGAGAGAGAGGAGAGAAGAGGGAGGAGAGGAGGAGGAGAGGAGGAGGAGAGAGAGAGGAGGAAGAGAGGAGAGAGAGGAGAGGAGGTGTAGAGGTGCAGAGGAGGTTCTCATGATGTTCTTGTGTGTGTTTGGTGCAGAGGAGTTCTCATGATGTTCTTGTGTGTGTTTGGTGCAGAGGAGGTTCTCATGATGTTCTTGTGTGTGTTTGGTGCAGAGGAGGTTCTCATGATGTTCTTGTGTGTGTGTTTGGTGCAGAGGAGGTTCTCATGATGTTCTTGTGTGTGTGTTTTGGTGCAGAGGAGGTTCTCATGATGTTCTTGTGTGTGTGTTTGGTGCAGAGGAGGTTCTCATGATGTTCTTGTGTGTGTGTTTTTGGTGCAGAGGAGGTTCTCATGATGTTCTTGTGTGTGTGTTGTGGTGCAGAGGAGGTTCTCATGATGTTCTTGTGTGTGTGTTTGTGGTGCAGAGGAGGTTCTCATGATGTTCTTGTGTGTGTGTTTTGGTGCAGAGGAGGTTCTCATGATGTTCTTGTGTGTGTTTGTGTGCAGAGGAGGTTCTGATGTTCTTGTGTGTGTGGGTGCAGAGGAGGTTCTCATGATGTTCTTGTGTGTGTGTTTGTGGTGCAGAGGAGGTTCTCATGATGATTCTTGTGTGTGTGTTTGTGTTGTGATGCAGAGGAGGTTCTCATGATGTTCTTGTGTGTGTGTTTGTGGTGCAGAGGAGGTTCTCATGATGTTCTTGTGTGTGTGTTTGGTGCAGATGAGGTTCTCATGATGTTCTGTGTGTGTGTTTGGTGCAGAGGAGGTTCTCATGATGTTCTTGTGTGTGTGTTGGGTGCAGATGATGACCGTCAGCAGAAGACGCTCTCCTCCTCTGCGTCGTTCCGTCAGCTGACCCTGGAGCGGGACCAGGCCCTGTCGGACTTGGCGTCGGTGGAACGTTCCTTCTCGGAGCTTTTCAGACGATACGAGAACATGAAGGGCGTCCTGGAGGGCTTCAAGAAGGTACGGGACAACCGCAGCCGGCATGCTAACGCGCACCTCCTCAACAGCTGCTTATACAATAGATCTGAGCTGAAGAGACACACGTTCTACTCAGGAACATGAGGAACATAAGGAACATCTACAGGAGAAGGTTTAGTTAGATGGCCAAAGAAGACCAGGACTAAACCAGGAGGAGGTGTTACTCTGACCTTCTGATGTTCTGACCTTCTGACGTTCTGACCTTCTGACCTTCTGATGTTCTGACCTTCTGACCTTCTGATGTTCTGACCTTCTGATGTTCTGACCTTCTGATGTTCTGACCTTCTGACCTTCTGACCTTCTGATGTTCTGATGTTCTTTGTTCTTTGTTCTTCATTCTGTGCAGAACGAGGAGGTTCTGAAGCGTTGTGCTCAGGAGTATCTGCAGAGGATCAAACAGGAGGAGCACAGATACCAGACGCTCAAAGCCCACGCCGAGGAGAAACTGGACAAGTACGAATACTGCAATATTTACTGCAAATACTACTGCAAATACTACTACTACTACTACTACTACTACTACTGTAATACTGGTACAAATACTACTACTACAAAGCCCACGCCGAGGAGAAACTGGACAAGTATCAAACTGCTGCTCTCACAGTTTGTGTTGTGGCTCCTGATGTTCCTGATGTTCCTGATGTTCCTGATGTTCCTGATGTTCCTGATGTTCCAGTGTGTCCATCAGGTCCAGACTCGGAGTGTGTGACATCTGACTCCAGGTCAAGATTTTCCACTTCAACCTGCTGAGCCACGAAGCTCCAGAATCATGAAGATCATGAATCATGAAGAACATGAGGAACATGAAGAACAAGAGAACATGAAGAACATGAAGAACATGAAGAACATGAGGAACATGAAGAACATGAGGAACATGAGGAACATGAGGAACATGAGGAACATGAAGGAACATGAAGAACATGAGGAACATGAAGAACATGAAGAACATGAAGAACATGAGGAACATGAGGAACATGAAGAACATGAGGAACATGAGGAACATGAGGAACATGAGGATCATGAGGAACATGAGGAACAGAGCCTCCACTGAAAACCTTCAAACTTCTAACTTCAGATTCAACAACTTTTCCCTGACAAATGCACATTCCACTGTTTCCATGAACATGAATCAGGTCGTTTTCCTGCGTCACACGTGACGTCCACAAACCTCCACAAACGTCCACAAACGTCCACAAACCTTCACAAACGTCCACAAACGTCCACAAACCTCCACAAACGTCCACAAACCTCCACAAACCTCCACAAACCTCACAAACCTCCACAAACCTCCAAACTCCACAAACCTCCACAAACCTCCACAAACCTCCACAAACCTCCACAAACCTCCACAAA